TACAAAAGACATTGGGAGGGGGGGAGGGGGGGGGGGGGGTGCAAAATGGGGACCACTAAAAATTTATGCTGTGGCAAATCAAAACGTCATGACAGAATCTACAGTTTCATGTTATGGTTGCACTTAAAACCTATCTGTAAAAAAAAAATAAAATAAAATAATAATAATTAAAAAAAAAACTAAGACATTTAAGTTTTTAATCGGCTGACTTGATGTGTTCAAAAATGTATTTTGTTGCTTTAATAAGATGTAGTGACTTTGATCTTAAAATGCTGTGACTCTCATATTTTTTTAATAAGTGATCTTTTTGTGAGTGGCAGCAGGAAGGACGAAAATGAAAGTACATAGAAATATAAATAAAGGAAAATGTTTCAACTCATAGCAAATGACTTTCATTTTGACTCTTCAATTCTAAGAAAGAAAAAAATAGCATTATGCATGAGTTGGCTGTAATTTCAGTTAATGTATAAAGGTGTCCGGTGCCTCCATTAGCCCACAGCATGATGACACTACTGCTTTTTTGTCACCCTTTTGTGAAACTCAGTAGATATCCTGTTTTTTTTTTTTTTGTTTTTTTGTAAATTCACCACTATATTTGCATACCTCACATGATAACAATCCCACTCTCTCCACTTTTCTCTAACTTTCCGCCCTGCGTCTTTGTCCCTCTTCCTCGTTCTCCGATCCCTCTGCCAGGTGTTCGACATGGGGGTGTACCAGGAGAAGATCAGAGCTTACGGCGTTCTGCCGCCTCACAGGAACGTGGCTGGCATCAGGGACATCATCCTGGGGGAGCGCAAGGCCTACGTCTTCCTGGACAAGGACTTTGGGGACATGCACACCCTCGTGAAGAGCTGCAGGCGCCTGGACGAGGTGCAGGCCCGCAGACTGTTCCGGCAGGTGGTCCTGGCCGTGGCACACTGTCACCAGGCGGGCATCGTGCTGGGCGACCTCAAGCTGCGCAAGTTTGTCTTTGCGGATGAGAAAAGGTGAGATCAACTGGACAGGAGGCTGTTTTAAGGTCGACTATGTGGGGAGATTAACAGGACAGTTCAGGTATTAGAAAGGAAGCTCTGTTGGCATGTTAAAAGCAGTTGATGTCCTAACTCCCTTAATACTCTCATGGTGTCTTTATTTAGTGTAAATCCACTCTGATCGGCCCCTTGCCAGGGAAAGACTTTAATTTAAGTTGCAGATGGCACTTAACTCAGAAACAATGTTTAACTTTTTTTTTTCCATGCTCAAAGAAAGAGCCAGTTTATACGGACTTTTCCCTGATTTCCAATAAGGAATATCACTTTGCATGTCTAATTTCTCACCCAAATGAATTAGAGCTGACAACCGCTGAACCTTTTTGTATGGTTCACGACTACATTAAAGTGATGGGTCCGAATTTTTAAAGCAAACCAATCGCCGAGTTGGCTGTAATCTGCAACTTCACCAATAGATGGCTCTATATTGCACGCTTTCCTCCTTCAAGAAAGTAAAAAAAATGAATACGGCACACTTTACGCTGCGCAACGTTCCTCCTTTCCACACTGCAAATTTGCTCAAGCACATTTTTTTATTATTATTATTGTAATCTTGATGTAACAGTGAGGTTATTTTGTTTGAATGGTATTAAACCTGAATGGCTGCAGTGTAGTGGCACATGCCAGTGAAAGCCCACAGCCAGCACGGCAGCAGCTGATACACACAGATCCGTGTGTTCGGATCTGGATGTGGGAACAGATAGAGTAGGAGGTTCTGTACTTGTGGAGGCAGACTGCTCAGCTTCCCAGATTTTCGCCTTCTCTGTCTGTCTCCCGTCCTCGCCTGCGACGTGTCCCTTTGTGTGCTCGCGTTCTGTTTGTTTTGCATGTGTATGTGCCTGCATGTGTGAATGTGGTGGGCGGCGGTTTTGGCAGAGCCGCGAGACGAGGCTGCTGAATGAGACGATCGTACCCTTCTGCAGGCCGTCGCATTCGAAAACATTTATTGCTCATTATTTATTAATAAATTACATCATAGCTGCGCCGCAGGAGAACCGATGGCTCCGACTGGGTTTCATTCACACGCACTTTTCTTGCACGGAGGAGTAGTTCTGATGCTTTGAACCGGCTCCCACACACACAAACACACACACTCAACCCACACGTATGCTATTACTTGTGGGTGCTACGTTCCGTTCAGGAAATCACTCAAAACATTTTCCAACTAAATTATTTGTTTCATCTTTTAGCCCTCCTGTAACCCTGTTTCTTAGAAGCACCAGCTTATTTCGCTCCTCCACCGACGTTCCCAAACACACATTTCCATGAAGAATTATCATCGCTAAGCGTCTCCAGCCGTAACCTCGGGGTTGGCAGGGTCACAGTGGATGAATAAGAGCGGGGAACCACTGAGAGGAGTCGAAGCTGCTTGTGCCCCTCTAATAGCTATACCGCTGCAGAGTGATGAGTCACAGTGTATATGTGCAGAGGAGAAGAGGAGGGAGGGCTGCACAGCTCTTTTTCCTCAACCTTAGGTGTTTGTTCATACATGCTGAGGTTTGAGCTAAATTACAAATAAAGCTGCGATGCGCTCTTGCGCCGGCGATTTTCTTACCAAAAAACCTCAAACACACTCGCCACCTTAAGAACTTTGGCAAGGTTTTACCCACATCTCTGCGACATATACTTCGAGAAAACATAATTCCAAACATCCACAGGCATACAAGTGTGGTACGAATCTGTATGATCTCACTCTTTCCTTAGAAACATTTCTGTAAAATCTACAATTCGACACCTTCAGAGCCATGATACATAAGCTGTGATGCAATGCCCTGGCCGACAAAGCTGCTTTCCAGGCAGAGTCACCAAAAAAATTCACAACAATCTGATGAATGCTGTCCTCATTGACACGCACACGCACGAGCGGACGCGCGCATGCAGATACGGAAAAACAGAGTGCAGATGGAGGAGTCAGTTTAGGGAAGGTGAATAGTGCTGAGAAGCATGCAGAGCTTGAGTGCCGGGCCAGCCCTCCTCTCCGTGCGTCACTGATGTGGCAACAGCCATTTGAGGGTAATTATGGCACGGCTGGCGCCGCCAGTGTGGGACCCAGGTGCAGATAGCCTGGGCTCGAGACGTAGCCGGAGAGAGTAGAGAAGATATGTTCTCTCAACAGAGGGGGATGACTCACTCTCTCCACTCCTTTAACTCTCTCTGTTCTGATTCTCTTTCTGCCTCCATCCCTCTTTCTCCTTCACCGACTTATCTCCTCCACTATCTGGCTGCTTGAATATCATTTGCTCTCCGCTCCGGCCCTTCTGGCTGTCACCCTTCCCGTGGTGATCAGTTTTTCTCCTCAGCTGCTCTTTTATTACCGCTGAAGGGGTTGCCCAGATTTTGCGCTAAATAGAAAATACTTTGTGACTCTCTGTCATTTTTGCTTGACAAAAATCGCTTCGTGCCTTGTAAACGTTGCCTAGTCATCGCTGGGATGATGACATTTTGTTTCCCCTGAAAATGGAAAGATGCTCGCGTTCAAAGCCGCGCGTGCAGTTAGTTTATTTTATTGATACACATGCTTCTCTTCAAACAATCCGTGCTTACGTGGGCCTGAGCATTTTTGGCCCAGAACTGCTTTAGCCGTGCCGTTGTTAGTGTAAGTGTTGCCAACCTCATCAGCAGCTGTATGTGGAGCATCGATATTAGTTATTGATTAGATTCTTGCAGACGTTGCAGACACATTTTTTTAAAATATCGGATCACTATTAATTTATAAGAGTATTCATGCACTGAGATTTAAAAGTCTTGAAGTCTTTCCTGGGGTTGAAACAGAGCAGAAAATCTCTGGCCCACAGTTGCTCTGCTCCAGGACTAAATGCATGTGTCATTTACATGCCTAAATATAGCTAGCAGAGTGTGAATAAGGAAGGAGGAGAGTGCTGCAGTTTTATATTTATATGAGTGTTTATGTGGCCAGGCTAGTGCCAGGAAGTTACTGGAAATTTGCTTAGGCAGCTCTGTTTCTTAAACAAGAGTCGCTCAGCCGGTCTTGGGTCAGAGTGAGGTCACTGGAGGTTGGTATGCAAATATGTGTGCTGCCGGTATCTAGACTGTCTGCCCATCTGTTGCTGTGCAGATTAAGGCTAAACAGAAGATGTCATAATACATAATAACTAAAGTTCCCTGCTCTCCTTGTAGGTTGAAACAGAACGGGCTCTGGGCGTCTTGAGTTCTAACGATTTCTCAAATTTGTTCCTATAGGACACACGTGAGACTAGAGAGCCTCGAGGACTGCCGCATCCTGGAGGATCCCAACAGAGACTCTATGTCAGACACCCACGGGTGCCCTGCCTACGTCAGCCCCGAGATCCTCAGCGGCTCAACGCCGTACTCCGGCAGGATGGCCGACATGTGGAGCCTGGGGGTCATGCTGTACACCATGCTGGTGGGTCGCTACCCCTTCCACGACCCAGACCCGGCCACTCTGTTTTCCAAGATCCGCAGGGGCCAGTGCTGCTTGCCGGAAGGCTTGTCGCCGAAGGCCAAGTGTTTGCTCCAGAGCCTGCTGAGGAAAGAGCCTTCAGAGAGACTAACGGCGGCCGAGCTGCTTGCTCACCCGTGGTTCCACCTGCCGCCGTCGCCACAGGATGTAGCATCGGGTGAGCAGGAGGTGAACTCGGCGGAACAGACAGTGCCATCCTTTGAAGTGGAGGAGAACGACGACCTGTTCTGTTGACAGACGCGGCTGAGAGCCTGACTAAGAGACCAAAACAGATCTCTGAGGGGAGTCGTCGTCATTGTTGTCGTTTTTGTACATTGGCACTTTTTAGAAACCTGTTTGTGTTTGTGTACTGGTATGTGTACATACAACCTCAAGCTTTCTACAGAAACTCACTGTACTGTATTCCCATGTCTTGTATGTGTTACTTTGCTAAGGGCATTGCTTACAATGGTCAGTCATTGTGCAAGTTGTGCATTTTAAAACAATAGCTGGTGCTAAAAGAAATCACAATGATTCAAAATTTGTCAGATCGTTTTTAAAAGAATATTCTCTGCAGGCTTCTGTGAGTGTATCACATGAATTTTAAACCCCTCTCTCTCTCTCTGTCTCTCTCTTTTGCATTCATGCACCTTCACAAAGCATTAGCTGAATCTTAACTGCGATGGCCAGGGCTGTTGTTCCTCTCACTCTCTGGCCAGGCTGCGGCTGACTCAATAGCTGACTCGAGGACGGTTTGAGCTCGAGCCCGACGTCCGCGAGCAGACAGTGACACAAAGTAGGAAAGATGGTTTAGCAAGGGACTCGTGTGTCACACTCAGCGTGACACTACGGAGGTGTCTCACTGCCAATCTGGCAATGTCTGAGCGGAGATCATTTACAAATCTCACACCATGTGCAGAAGGTTGAGAAAGGCAGGATGTTGTTGGTGTAAGACTTGTCACGCTCAGTCAGCAAATAATAGTGACACCAGTTCTGAAAGAAGTTCTTGTAAATAGCCGATACATTGAAGAAATGTCTGATCTGACCATGCAGCTGGGAACGGGCCAGTATGAAATTCTCACGCTAAAACATTGGTTTGAATTTCTGTGTATTTAGATAAAACCTCAATCAACTAATCTGTTGACCGACAGATTAGTTGATTGACAACTTGATCTAAAAAAAAAGGAAAGCACCATTATTGCTATTTGGAAAGACAGGATGAATTTAGTTTAATTTAAAGTGCTTATTGTCCATGAAATTACCCATTTTGCTGCTGGCTAACTCACATTAGCTGGCTATTTGCTGTGCAGCTCTTAGCTGGCACATTGGACTTTTAAAACAGCATTGCTTTGTAAGAGCAGCGGCTGCTTCTCTGTTAGGTCAAGCAGCGTGGCTTGCTGTTGTTTCAAGGCTAAAAATATTTCCAAGCAGGCAAATTTTCTCTTTTTGTAAGAACGTGAAGCAGCCTTCTTTTGGTTAGCTGAGCCAAAAACGTGAGCAGAAGTAGGCGAGGGCTTTACTGCCCTGCTATACGCTATAATAACTGGAGAAAACTCTACCCACTCTGGTACTTTCTCCCAAGTGGATTTCAATCCATAGGAACTTAATGACAGGTGATTTTCACTGTCTTAAAATCGTAACTTTTTGAAACTTTGGCACACCGGGATACCAAAAAACTGGCCAATGCCAACACTTCGGTTTTTAGGAATAAGTCTTATCACCCAACACTAAGTTGTCACGGCAGTCAGAAACAGAAAGCGCCACGTTGCATTAAAAAAAATATAAATTTCTCTGTGAAGTGGTCAAACCAGTTCTTTCGAGTGTCTTTGGAACAGTGATCAAACAAAGCCGAATAGTTGCGCCTGCATTTCGCTGTGCTTCGTAAACCGAAAGAGACTGAGTTGGTCGCAGTCTGGCAATATACGATGTCTGTTGATGAGTCAGCGCTTAAACTTGTCAGTAGAAACCGACTCTGACCTTGACTCAAGGAATTTCTTCAGACCAGTTCACTTCTTTATACTGTTTTTTTTTTTACTTTTATCAATCGTTTTTTTTTTTTTGTCGTCAGGGACATGATGTACAAAGCCTAAAAAGAGACATTCAAATTATTTGGTTTGTGACAAAAGAGTGGAGACTTCCAGGTCTACTTCATTCTGACACAATAGTCTTGACAACGGTACTGAATCTGGTACGTCTGAGGAGTGATTATTAACCTTCAATTTCCGGATGAGACAGTAGCTTTATTCTAAAAGAAAATATCCTCTCGTTTGCTGGAGACTGTAAGAGGCTAGTGACAACTTGCATTGTTCCTCACAAGGAAGTAATTTAAGAGATTTACGATTTTTGTTGCGTTATATATGTAGAGTGAGTCGCTCATATGACGTGTAAAGTAAACTGACACGGGTGCACAATCTCCATATTGCACTGTGAATCATGTAGTTGTGACACAACCTGAAGGCTTCGTCAGCCCCTAGCGGTTACATGTGAGAGTTATATTCAGTGTACAAAGTGTGTAAATATGTATATTTGAAGTATATGTTGAATAATTGAATAAAGATCACAGTTTTTCATATTCACGTGACTTGTTTTTCATTCCCTCTCTCCACCTTCGCAGCTTAAATATGCGCCTTTAAAGGTTTTCCTAGAAGAAATTATTTTTTTTTGTTTGAACTCCTCATTGTCGCAACCCCTTTTCTTCGTCTGCCTCTCCAAAAAAGGAAAACAAGTGGAAAAACCTTTGACCGCTCAGTCTCCATCTCTTCCTCCAACCGGTTTCTCTTCTCTGACCTTTGCGTAATGCAACATTTAACTCCTCAAACACACAAATGTCAATAGCGGGTCAATGTCTTTTTTTCCTGGAATACGCCAGGGAGAACGTTCGCTCTGTTGTGTTCTTTTTTTTTTTTCTTTTTCCCAATAACCTACAGAGCGTGAGGTCAAGTCATTAAAAAAAAAACAGCACGGTCTTTTACCTCAAACACATCTACTCTTTTCCTGCCTGCTCTACTTTTACTCTCGGATCATTTGTTTGACCTATAAGAGCTTGGCATGTCTCCACCCTTTGCGTGTTATGACTACCCGAGGCACGGCTGGCTGGGGCTTGCGTAAGTGTCGAGTGTATGTGTTCTTGTGCATACCTGCTTCCATGTCTGCGTAAGTGTGCGTGTGTTTGTGTGTGTGTGTGTGTGTGTGTGTGTATGTGTGTGTGTATGTGTGTGTGAGAGTGAGTGAAGAGTCAGATTAGGTATCAACAGGGTAGCTGAATTGTCTTGGTTGCTGGGAAGCAGCCAAAGCAACTACAGTATTGCCTAACTGAGAGTCGAGGTTCCGTCTCAAGGGATGACGGTAAAAATAAGGTGTAGGACGAGGCCATGTAATACATTTCTACAGGAAGCTCTTGTTTTGTGAACCAGAAGGGATTTATTGATGTATTAATCTCATAACCTTTAAAGGGAATGTAATCTTAAGCAAAGCGCTTGTCGGTGAGAGCTGAAATGGGTTGAGGAGTTGCGAAATCCTCTCAGGTGAACTTTGTGAAGTCATCCTCTCCCTTTGGCCACAAGCATAAACTTTATCCTTCCTTCAGGTCGGGGATCATTAAGGTTTCCCAACCACATAATCGTTCAAACAACAAACCTCAGTAACTTCCCATCATGTGTTATTCAATGTTGCTTGAAGGTCACAAAGATCATCAGCAACTTCCCAAGACCTCTGTGACCTCACGATGCAATGTCAACATTTCAGAACATAGTGTTCACAAATACTGCAAAGGCTGTTGACACGCCGTAAAGCTGATGTTTTAGGAGAAAGGTATGTGGTTTGATTTGCCATGTGGAGGAAAGTGAAAGCAAAATATATTAACCTGCGATTGTTCGACGCATGAAAGTGAGATATAGAAGCAGACGGCGAAGCACCTGTCCCCTGGATGAGACTGAGCATTGTGTCTTTTCCTGGAACCTGTTGGTTCCGGATTGTTCCACTGATGCAATGGAAATATCATCCCTCTGTTTGAGTGGCCCTCTGACCTGCTTTTATTTCATAACACAAATTCCTGGAGGAGGGCTCCGGCCGAGCGCGGTGCGCCGTTCTGGACCGGATGCCACATAATGACGGTGGTGTTTTCGCCTTTCATCCTAAATCAGAAGCACATACCTGGGAAAGCAGTGGAGCGGCACAAAATGAGAACTCTGACGCCATCTTGTGGAAGCAATACGAATAGCAGCTTCTCGTCAAAAACAAAAATCATTCTGAACACAGAAGCCTCCCTTTCTTCAGAAGTTCGGATGTGGTGTGAAATATCAGACAGATATTTAATTTGCAACATGTAACAGAAGGACCAAAAGGAGTTTCCTTTTGTTAGTGTATTACAGCACACACTAAATCTCCAAAGTGTACACACCCCTATAAAAGAGACGCTGTATTTTCCACGTTATATTTTTTCCCATACAATTCACAAACAAATCAGCTTGATGGGAAACAGTAAAAAAGATGCATTAACCCAATTGGATAATTATGCATCTCCTGACTGTGCTTCACAAATGAGGATATTTGGAGTCAATCAGCATCCCACACTCCGGCTTCCTGTTAGCACACTGCAAATAATGACTTTAACAGAAGGATGAAAAGGTGGAAAGGTCGGGATAGTCCTAGTAGGGTGCGTTTTTCTTTTTTTTGTTGTTGTTTGTAGTTTTTTCAGGAGCTGGAAAGGACATGTCTAACATTCATCGTCTACTTTTTTCCTAAATCAAATTCTGCCAATTAAAAACTGTGTGCACAATTTTGAAACTGACTGTGAAATCTGAAATGTAGTAGATTTAAAAATCCGATAATGGGACAGCAAAAATGTCTAAATATGCTAAGTTGCTGTATCGTGATTTAGAGTGTGAGGAAATGTTACACAATGTTTTAGAGACTAAAACAGTATTTGAGCAGCCATGAGATTCGTACTAGGAAATGCGCAGCATCAAAAAAAGTAATAAATTTACACATTCTTGTAGAAATTAATTCAATGACCTTAAGAAGGTAGGATTAGTCAAATTTCTAATTGACACAGCCCTGAACATTCAGGATTTGTAGAAACAAAAGACTGATGAGAGAACATGGATTGACTACCATCTCCGTAAAGGTTAACAGGATTTATGGTGAACATATGACTTAAAGAAATAGGTAGTAAAGTGACAGGTGTGACGATTCCCTTTGATATTTTTGTGCTGATTTACCACACACACAAAAAAAAAATCCAATAAAATACATTGAAACCTGTGTAAGGGAACACTGTTGTTCATTTTGTTTCAGCATTAACAAACAACTTGCAGATCATTGTTTGATGTCTTTCACCAAAGCAGGAAAAGCACTCCTCCTCTTCCACCGTGAAAATATAAAAAGCTCCAAAGGATTCTGCATATTCACAGCAACATATGGCAATAACTTTCTCAGCGATTAGACTGAATGTTTGTCAGTCACAACGATGCCCTGCTGGGGGTACAAATACCGATCTGTCATCTCGCCTGGGTCAACAGTCTCTGAAGAACACAGAGGAAGAAAGGACTATATGAGTGCTTCTGTGATTGCGTTATCTCGAGTAAAATGCCCCCTGGGGGACAATCTGGTCTCGTCATGATTGCTTATTATGAAAGGAATTGATATTCGGATGATGTATCTGTGAGGGATGAGACTCAGGAAGGTTTGTTTATTTGGATTTATCTCTTAGTAATTCAAAAACCTGCCATAACATTTCAGCAGTATTACGAAGGTCACTCTTTTTTTCCCCGGCATAAATGTTTCTGACAACAATCAGCAGGTTGGCAGCAAGTTATGGAGGGGATTTTATTGAGGACAGCTGCTCCAAAGCAGAGCATTGCGCAGTAGCAAGACCAAAGTGGCAGCCTCCAAGGCCAAGACCAGGCAGTCCTTCTTCTCCCTACTTTCCTTGCTCATTTCCTGCTTTCTTCTTCCCATCTTCTTGCTTTTCTTCCATTATTTTCTTCTTTTCTTTCTCCTGCCTCTTATCTTCTCCTTTCACTCCTTTCTTGTTTCCCTCCTTCCTCCTTTCTTATTTGATGCCACAGCTCCTTTTTTTCCATCCCCTGTGTCCTTTATTACTTTCCTTGTCTTACTTCCAGTACTTGGTTTATCCAGTTCCTATGTTTAATGCCTGCCCACTGTAGAAAAACCTGCTTCTGCTTCTCTGTTTAGTATATTTAACTGAACGTAAACACCTGGGAACTCTTGAAAGTTTTCTTTCATTAAACATGTGAGACCCTGTTAAAAATATTAAATATTAAACATGATACAAATGAAAGAGCTTCTGATTAAGCTTTAGATATCTTTGTTAGAATATTATCTATTGCAATTATGCTACGCCTTATGATCAATATCCACTAAATGCCTAGTCAATGATAATAAGCACCCATAGTATTGCTGCAATCATAAAAAGTTAAAATGTCCAGTAGAGGGCAATGTTTTCATGTTTTTAATAAGATTTAACTTAACCCATTTGCATGTGGGTTATGCAGCTTTTCTGCACATAAAAATGGTCTGGTACGTTCATTAGTTATTTATAAATGAAGTTGTTCATGGATGTGCTTTTAAATATATATATATATATATATATATATATATAT